CGAGGTAGACAGATGGATAGAATAGAAAAACAGCTAAATTGTTATTTTTTCTCATTTCTATTTATGATAAATGCCGTATACTACTCTGATGTAGATTTAATCTAATTCTAACTTAAACCTTAAAGGAATGATAGGGTGAAAAATAAAATGTACACAATTTTCCACTATACCTCAAATGTAGTTGATGAGCCAAGATATGTTTTGTGTCCAAATGTTGCTTCTTTAGTTTAATACTGAAGCTATGAGGTTAACCTTGCTAACAAACACAAGAAGTCAGTAATTACCCAAATCTTTTCCATAAATATATCCCCAAAACTTCTCTCAACCTGATAGAACCAGGGCTAGGTCTTCAATAAGGTTGTGCAGACTTGTTGATGTGGTTTAGGACACACAGTGAACTATAATAGCGAACAAAACTTCATCATGTAACTGAACGAAGTGGGTAGCCACTGTTGTAGCAATGCTGTGTCAAATCTGACATGCTACATAATGTAGTATCCATAAGCATGCATGATGTGCATGCATGGGAAAGGGGCCTGATTCTATGGAGGATTTGGAATTTGCCACAAATATGACTGCTTGAAACATTTAGCACCACAGTGATGTTTTGTTTATTTTTATAGCTCACAGTAACTCATATTGTGTCCTAAACCACACTGACAAACCTGACTGAACTTAATAAAGAGGTTAAGAGAGAGAAAGTTGAGAGAAAGTTCTGGGGAAGTATTCACAGAAAACATTTGGGTGACTATTGACGTCTAGTGTTTGTTTGCAACATTAGCCTTCGATTTTGTTCCGACAGTGACGATGTATTACCAGAAACTAGCTAGATTTATCATGTTTGCTCATATAATTTAACAAAACTGAGGGTCTTCGGACAGATGTGGGTGCACATCAGAGCACATATGAGTTGTAATATAGTTGTAATCAACTTGATTTATAAATGCAGTACTGTGAATTACAATACAGTACAAGTATAAATAGCCGCTAGTATTTTTCTCTCAAACTTTCTAAAGGCTACAATGTTACTATTGTTTAATTTAAAATTCAGCTGGATCATTTTTCTGTGCCTGAAAAAAATAAGAGGACTTCTGGCCTTAAGCTGGGCTAATACTGCCATTGTTCCTCTACATTTGAGCCACTGCTGCATGTACAGGAATAAGTGTTTGGGATTAATAAAACCATTGTGATGTGAATCATGCAGGCCTAGCTGCTCAGAGGATTACAGTGACTTCATAACAAATGCAAATGCTCAACGAGTACAACCCTTAGAATAAAGATGAAAGGCCTAGAATTACAGGACAATCAAGCTACGCTTTAAATTTTAGTGCTTGTTGCCCCAACTTATTGTTGATAACACTGTGGTTATCCGCCCCACATTCTGTGTCGCCCACACCCTGACACACAGTGCAGCACAGAGAGCAGGTTAGCATCTCTTACTGTATCCAAACCCTAAACAACCGTGAGAGAAACCACAAAGCTCCTGGCAGCTGAGTATAAAAGGGCAGCTTCAACCACCAGCTCATACAAGGCTTCCCTCTCCTGAGAGTGTGAACAGCAGGGCAGAGTGTGTGTGTTAGGGGTGCACACCACTGCCCTCTAGCAAAAGGATCTCAAAGCTCGGGGACCTGATATATATGCTGAAGATTTGATAGGAGGGTGGATAATTACACATGTTTCAGTCCTTTCACCTGCCATAAGGCAGGAAAGAACACATGTAAAACAAAATAAAATAAAATAAGCAAGCAACATACATGAAGGAAAAAAACAAACAAACAAATAAATAAATACTGCATAGGTATATAAATAAAATAAAATAGCAAATGTAGAATAAACTAAAATAAATATACATACATTAGCTAGTGGCATAAATGAAAGACTAAATAAATAAAGGTAGGTATATAAATAAAATAAAGATAGCATACATAAAATAAAAAATAAATAAAATAAACGTAGATTAGCAAGCAGCATGAATGAAAGAATAAATAGATGAATGAATACGTGAATAAATAAATAAATAAATAAATAAATAAATAAATCTGGCAGACAGAAAGGGCGTCAGTAAGTAAATGAATAAAACAAAAATAGCATAATAAAAGGCATTAATGTAATTTAACAGGAATTATCATTGTTTTTATTGTTGCATTCTCATTCATTGGTTTATTCAGCGTGGTTGCTCTCTGTTTTGTCTATTTGATCTATTTCAGACGATGAACGTGGCTTTTATTGACTTAAAATGTGCGTATGTGTATATATGTACGTACATGTAGCTTGTACGTTTACTGCGTAATTAGCAGCCATCGCTGTTCTGAAGGCCCATCTATTTTGTGCGAGAAACAATAAACATAAGAAGCGAATCTGAATCACCTGAGCGCTCAGATGGTGCTCCTGGAAACCTGATAAAGCCAGAGTGCGACTGGCATTCAAACCGCGGTGTGGACGAGAACTCAGCTCACTACAAACTCCTCATGGTTCTCAACTGTGAACTTTAATATCGCTGATTTTCTCTTATCGTCACTTTTCCTCGCTCTTCGAGTCAAAGCAGACTCAGTAAGCATTCCAGTCTCCCTCCTAGTTCCCTGAAAAGTGTACTGCACAGAGTTTTCAGACATTTTAAGGGTGATTCCAGACCACAGGGAGTGAAAGAGTTCCGTTAGAAGGGAATTTCAACCTGCGCAGGGAGTAGTGAACAACAGTTTATCACTTCACAGGAAGCTTCAGGAAAGTTTACCCATCAGTCATTGCAGGTCTCGTGAAGAAGCGTGTTCGATTATGAGGCTACTGGACGTTCCGAGTGAAGGTATTTATCAGCTGCAGCTCTCTTAAACGACACCCAGTGCTCGAGTGTGTAGGGAACATTACGGTACTGCTTAGGGACCCTGAGGACTGGAATGCAGCTCGTAACGTTCACGTGACGCTTTGCTCTGGGATGGATTAATGATGACTGAAAAATAACTGGCGTTTAAATGAACTTAAAAATGTAGGGCTGACTTTTCAGAGTGAATAGAAACGCGTACGTCTATAAACGTTTTCTTTGTGGGCTACTTTGCCTCACAACGCCCTACATATATCCCTTAGTTATTATTGCTTTTTTAATGTATATTTTAGACTAAATCCGTATTTTAAAACTTTCAGAAAGTGCACCATATATCTAACCTTTTTTATGTATTAACTTTCTGTAAGGGGGTTTTTAGGGGCATTAAACTCTGGTTCCTATAACCACCACTATGAACAATTCTGACTCAATATGTTTCTTTAGAATGGAGAGGATAGAATTCACACCAAACCACTCTGAGTGACTTTGTTTACACCTTAACCACTTAATTATGCACAAATTTTGAAAAATCGGTGGAATTCCCCTTTAACTTGTGGTTGATGCTTACAGAACCCATCCAAACATGCTTATATCATTAATGCAGCCTGTCAGTGAATTTTTCTCTCTTTCTCGCCATGTCTTTATTTTCCCATAGCCAAGCTGTCTGAGTAAAGGTGTGGGATTGGTGTGTGTGTGTGTGTACAGTGCGCTGTGTGGCTTGTATCATGATGTACGTGTGAATATAAGGAGCAGAGCTGCTTCATTTATATGTGTGTCATGTTTTCTGTGCCCTCCTCCCCCACAACCTACCTCTAAGAGGAGTTTCTAAACCCACGGGGGGATTTCAGGCCTGAGGCAGCGGCAGCCTGGAACACTTTTACTCTATATTTAGAGGAGCGCGAGCTCACTTTGGGCCACTTTAGGAAACTTTTAGTCTGCTCTTAGTTTTGGAACGAGTCAAAGAGATGCAATCAAAGAAAAGAAAAGGCAAAAAGGTATTGATCTTTGGCCTGCATGAACATTTAGGTCTGCTGCCACGGTCAGTACAGCTGACCATGATCTGTGTCAGGCTTGCCGGGACTCCATAAAACAGATATCTTCATTTATTACTTATTATTATTTTCCTGCTCAATGGAATGAAATTTACCATAACAAACCTCTAGAGGGCCATCAGAGAAAGAAAGAAAGAAAGAAAGAAAGAAAGAAAGAAAGAAAGAAAGAAAGAATAATAATAACCCCCATATTATGTTATATTATATTAGATTATATTATATTATACTATATTATAATATATTATATTAGAGCTGTAGTAGTACGCTAGCAGTAATAGGCAAATAATAATACTAATAAAAATAACAGTAGCAACAGTAGTTAGTTCTAGCTATAGTAGTAGGCCCAACAATATTTAGCATTCTATTGTAATAACAACATTACTATTATTATTATTTATAATAGTAGTAATGATAATAACAATAATAATAATAAAGCATAAGTAAAATTATTTTCCAGCTGCACCCTAAATATAGACTGTAGTTGCTAAAACTGTTTCCCTCTTTCCAAAACCATGAGCTATTCAAATACACCAAACACACACACACTCTCTCTCTCACACACACACACACACACACTGTGTTTCCGACAGAGAGGCAGCAGAAGTAGAAATTCCGTGATTGTGTGGCTCATTTGTTTGTGGTTTAGAGCTGCACTGCTCGGCAGGACCCGCCAGTTTCCGCCGCAGCTCCGGAATGAAGCTCCATATGCGCGCGGAGGGGCGGAGCTAATGGAGGGCCGGATGACCATGTATGGAGAACACACACCGGAATACACTGACTTTCACACACACATTAAAAAATATCTACGAGCGCATTTCACACACTTTTTTCTCTTTCTCCTTCAGTCCGAGCGTTTTGCTTTTTATTTCCTCTGTCCTGTCTTAAACCAGCCCTTCAGTCGCTTTAGTTTTATTTATTCGCGCTTTGTTTCTCTGCACCGTTTTGAATTTTCTCCATTAACTCTCCGCCCGGGCTTCTCCATTGACAAAAAAAATGTGCTGCTCTGTGACGCCACGCGGCCCAACAGGCCAATCGGCGTTCGCTGCGCTCCGCTCGCTCTCCTTCTATGGTCAGTGACGTCACGGACGTCGGAAAGCGCCCATAAATACAAAGTGCGCTAGGAGCCCGTGCGATCACACGCTCACGTACGCGCGCTCTCTGTCAGTCAAGCCTGTCAGCCAGTCAGTCAGTCAGTTCGCTGAGTTAGTTGACGTGAACCAAACGCCAACGAGAAACAGCAGCGAAAGAAAAAGAACAAGAAAAAAGAAGCCCTGGGTGGATGTGAGTGAGTGTGTGAGGGGCGGGAGGTGGGGGGGAGAAGAGCGAACACACACTTACACTCGCAGAGAGAGAGGGAGACCACGCATTGAACGGGGGGCAAACACAACAAAACTCTCCACGTGCTTTCCTTTTTCGTTTTAAAAAGCAAAACAACAACAAAAAGACAAAAAACACACGGTTTGTGCGCGTGAACCATGACGGCGAAGACTTTGGAGAAAAGCCCCGTGTTCGTGCACCCGCTGTCCGAGGGCATTTACTCTGTGGATGAGCTCAGCACCTCCCTCACAGTCTTCCCGAGCGGAGACGCGCCGGCCCACTACGAGCACATGAGCGCAGGTAAGAGGGGCAGTTATACTGGCTGGAGGGGCATCGCGCCTCTTACCTGCTCCGCACACTTTGTGCTGCAGGTGCTTAAAGCTGCTTTGTTGTTCTGGCTTTGGCTGTGTTGGTTTGAGTAGCAGGTGAAGTTTGTGTTTGATGGGACCAGCAGTTTCTCTCTTGGATTAGGTACCATGGAGGACCCCCTGTCCAGCACTTGTATTTTCCCTGCTCTAGCACACCACTTTAACTCAAGAAGGGCTCATTCATGAGCTGATAGACTGGATCTTGTGCGGAGCAGGAAAAGTGCAGGGAAAGAGGTCCTCCAGGAAACCAATGGAGTAGATAAATAGGCAGATAGATGCAATTTTGTGAGTGGAATTTTGGTCTGTTTACACTGGAAAAAGAAATAATGGCTTGATTAAAATCTGTAGCCTACAAATTGCTGAACATATATGACAGTTTTAACTTTTAGTTCACTTCAAATACTTTTTATTATTTTTTCAGGGTAGTATTCAATGAACAGTGTTGAGCGCTATATTCTGAGAACACTGAACTGAACTTACTTGACTAAAATGTTCAGTTTTACATGAATTGACAATTATTACTAAGTCAATTAAAAGAAAAAAAATGTGTTAATGTTTTACACAATCCCTGTGTAAATGATGTATCCTGTAGTCAATTTAACAGTGTTTATTTTTTTTATTATTATTCAATTTTTAGTATAAATCTGAAACTTTTGCTATGCCAGACTGCATTAACCTGCAAGTGCTGATTGCATTACACCCAAACTCATCACTGGGGATTCTGCAATGGGCATGCATAAATTCCCGATGTATGTATGGGATATTCTCTTCTAAATTAAATATTTTCTTGCACTCTTCTCTTGCAGATGGCTTGATTAATGGTGATATGAGTGTGGAGAAGCGGTCTCTAGACTTGTCCTATGCCAGCGGCTTCGCTCAGCCGGCAGCTCCCCGAAACCAGACCCTCACCTACATGGGCAAGTTCTCCATCGACTCGCAGTATCCGGCCAACTGGAACCCGGAGGGCGTGATCAACATTGTCAGCGCGGGTTTCCTGGGCATGGCCCAACCTTCCTCAGCCTCCTCCTCTCCATCCTCCTCCGTCTCTCCGGGCCACTTTTCCAGCACCATCAGCTGCACAGCACCGCAGACTCAGGCCGACATGGACCACATCTATTCCCCTCCGCCTCCTTATTCAGGGTGTGGAGAGGTGTACCAGGACCCGTCTGCATTTCTCTCAACTTCAGCCTGCCCCATCTCCTCGTACCCACCTCCATCCTACTCCTCGCCCAAAGCCACAGGAGATGCCGGTGTCTTCCCCATCATTCCAGACTACGCAAGCTTCTTCCAGCCACCATGCCAGAGGGACATACCATCCATTCCGGAGCGGAAACCCTTCTCCTGCCCACTGGACTCCTTCCGGGTGGCTCCTCCCCTCACCCCGCTCAATACCATCCGGAACTTTACCCTGGGTGCTCCGCCTGTGTCCGAGGGTTCCCGGCTTCCAGCAGCAGCCTATGGTCCCCAGAACCTTCCGCTGAGGCCGATTCTGCGGCCCAGGAAGTACCCAAACCGTCCCAGCAAGACTCCGGTGCATGAGCGGCCATACCCTTGTCCAGCGGAGGGCTGCGACAGGCGCTTCTCCCGCTCAGATGAACTCACACGCCACATCCGCATCCACACGGGTCACAAGCCCTTCCAGTGCCGGATATGCATGCGCAACTTCAGCCGCAGCGACCACCTGACCACGCACATTCGCACGCACACGGGAGAGAAGCCCTTTGCCTGCGACTTCTGTGGACGGAAGTTCGCCCGCAGTGACGAGCGCAAGAGGCACACCAAGATTCACCTGAGGCAAAAGGAAAGGAAGTCATCTACAGCCCCCTCAAACTCAGAGCGCTCCATCAGCATCGGATCCTCAGCCATCTGCTCGTCCAGCTCGGGCCAGTAAGCCCGCCACCCGCCCCCTCCACAAGACCAGCAGTTCCTAACCCCTGCTCAGTTTCCTTGCTCATATACACTTGATCCAACTAATCAGCAATTTAACAAGCCCTTCCTGAATTGAAAAGCAGGATGTGCAGAACAGCATTCCAGGACAAGGTTTGGGAACAAGTGCCCAATATGACTAGCAGGGCAGCACGCAACACTAGGCAATATCCACAGTCCAAATCTCCTGCACAGCTGGGGAGGGGAACAAAACTGGAAAGCCAAAGGACATGGATGAGGGACGGGGAACATGCACGATTCCTCAGTTTCTTTTATTGCTTTTTCTAATGGCCCCTAGTCTTGGTCGCATGTTGACTGACCAAAACGCACTTTGTTTATCATATTTAGGTCAAATAATTTAATGAAATAACAGCAGCATGTGGGACTACATGTTCTAATTACAAAGTGCAATGCACATTTGGTTGAGATAGGACTCGTGTGCTGGTCTGTGGGTCATTGTGAAAGCTCACTGCAAAGCTACAGCCTCATTCTTGCAATAATGCGGAAGCGATTCGAACATGATTCTTGGCAAGCTGAACCTAACGTAGATTTATTGTGCCTTTGTATCGTGTCTTTTTGTACATAGCCGCATACGCGAGGAGGCTTTGAAATAAAATTGTACAGTGGTCCTTTAATAAGAAAGTTTTTGAGAAAAAATAGTATATATTTTTGTATAAACTGTTTTGTGTCGCAGGTGTTCCCATTGTGGTAAAAAGAAATGTAAATAATTGGAGTCATACATGTGACGCTTGTTTTGTGGATGTTTTCACTGATATGTTGTGGAATGGGATAACTAACGCAGGTCAGTGGCTTGCTGGCCTAACTTTCTCTGTCATCGTGATGAAATAATAAATAAAACTTGAATTGGGATATGTTTGTTGTAAGCCTACCATTGCTGTGCATTAGTATAAGAGTAGGAAAATGTGAAGTGGACCAGAAGGGGGATTCCCGCTTTCGCATCCGTCACTTCTGACTCACCATCTCACAAGGGCGAGCACCCACACACACTATTGGGTTTACAGTACAATGCAACAGTTCTTGTGTGTGTGTGTGTGTGTGTGTGTGTGTGTTAACATCTGTCGATATTTCTGTGCAAGTTTAAAGCTGAGTTAGGGAAAAACAATAACACGTCAGGCTAGAAAAGAGGTCAATCGCTTCAGCTTTCAGCCTCTTTGATAGCTTTCTCACAACGTTTGAGTAAAGCTCCCTTGAGGTACCGTCTTCCAAACATTCATTTGAGTCTACATCCACATGCAAGGATCTCAGAACAACAGAGTGGCAGCAGCCCCACCAAAGAGCACTGAGGGACATGTCCCCAGGAAATGCATTAACAAAATAAAAATAAAATTCCCCCAAAGAGTATTTTAAGGCTCCAAATACCCAAAATGGACTGTTTACAGTGTCATTGTTTTTGTAAACAGCCCAGTCCAAACCCTTTCGATCCCTTCTTTTTTGCCCTTTTTGTGGAGCACCATATCTCCCCTTGCTCAGCAACATCTAAAAAGAGCTTCATCTTAAATAAGCTATAATCTCCATGTAAATAAATATGGCTTCACAGACTGGATTTCATATGAAACTAAAATGGAAAACGTTTGTGTTCTTGTTGTGACCTGAATGCGGTTGACAGGAGAACACTAAATCACACCTGCAGAGGTGGGGACAATCCCTGCGTTAGAACAGGAAACTGTATTGTTGATGGCATCCAAATATATAAGGATGGGCGATGAATTATAGAACAGAAAGACTATGACAGAATATACATCTTTGAATGAAATAATGCACTGGCACTAGTACACTGAGCCGACTCACCGCAATTTTCAGGCTGACAATTACAAGCAATTACCATCCAAAGACTCCAAAATCAGATTACTGCACATCAACATGCTCTCAACAGTGGAACAGTTAAGCTGAGCATAAGGAAGTCTAGAAGAACACAATGTTCCATTTTATTCAGTTGATAGAACTTGATAGTTGATAGTTTTAGACATAACCGTACAGAGGCAGGGATATCTGTAGCTATCTATAATTAAAATCTATTAAGGAAATTAAACAACTGAATCACTCGCTTTCGTTTCACCACAAGTCAAAACCATTGCGCAAATGTCTGTAAGGTTCCATAGGTGTTACAACTACCATTTTATATCACTTATTTACAGCTTACTGAATTAAAATAAACATAACCCAAGAATCTGCATGTCCAGATTAACACAAATGTGAGATCCAGCACAGATATACTAACAATACATTGTTTAAGACTCACTAATAGCCATAACAGAAGTGTCTGCTATAAAGCTTAGTGCTCCATGAAACAAGGTTTGATATACATGACCACCTCCTCAACGTCTAATGCATGATTGACTTTTCTTTCAATCTCGTGCACGCAGTCACTAGTGACAACACACCACCCATGACAGCACTCAAGCAATTCACAGTGACAAGTCAAAGCGAGGAGGCGACACTGGTTCACAGGGAAAGCTGCAGTCACACAGTGAACAATGTAAATCAGGCCGTCTGACAAATGCCACAGCAAAACATGATAAATGCAAACCTCATTTACATGTTGCAGGCACTGCAGCTGCTGCTTTAACTAAACCAATAAAATCCAGGGCACTTTCAAGGATTCCCTTCTTTGATTATAAACAAAATAAAAAGCAACATATGATAAAATGGAGCCACTGAAGGTCAAGCAAGACACACTGACTAGGCAAAATTTGAAGGACCAGAGGAAAATGTAAGGTGTATTATAAACACTTTAATGTCAATATATAAACCTTTAGCAAGAATATGCTTCATAATTGATTTGTACAAACAAGTCTTTTTTTAAATAAATAATGTAAATAATAGAGGCTATGTAGTGTTTACGTAGACAAGAGTATACGCTTTCAAAGCAAGATTACATTCAATATTCATAAGGCCATTAAGGTTAAAACATCATTTATGAAGAAAATGTCCCCAAAACTGTAGGTGACACTGTCGTCTTGATGGACTTTCAGCTTTTCCTGAAGAAGGGTAGGTACTGTTTGTGATGTATAGTTGGCTCAAAACCAGTCCTTTTATTTTAAACATGATTGATGTAGAAAGGCTAATGCTTAGAAATAATTGCTCAGACTCAAGACCGAGACCAAGCCTAAGCCTAAACTAAAAAGTGTTTCCACTGGCACACCAATTCACTCGAAAACTAGGCTTCATTCTGCCATCTAAAGGGCCACATGAGGCCCAGGATAAGGCTCTCCCCCACACCAGAAGTCGTCCGGCTGGGGGATTTCCAACAGCCAAGTCTCTTCTTTGCTGTTTTGCCCAGCCTCCCCCCCAACAGCGTGTATGACCCTGTAGTAGTGGCAGTCCCTCCCCTCGTCCGGGTCATACGGGGGTGCCAGGATGTCGAGGAAGGCGGCTGGTCCCTCTACAGCTTCGATCTGATGCAGGTTGTCCCTCAGAGGGGTCAGCAAACACGGGCCACTGTGCTCCGTGAACTCGCCGGTGGATCTGAGCACAGAGAGCCATACGGGGGCTTGCTGGGAGGACATCTGGGACTGGGATGGGGACAGGGATTGTGGCGGGGAAGGCCCTCCTCCCCCAGCCTCAGAGGCATTTTGAGGTCTCTCCAGCTTATCGAAGCACCTGATCCGTACCTTTCCGTACAGCACCTTCAGCATGCCGTTCATGCCCGGGTGGTCGTGCAGCGGGATGGAGGCGCCCCTCCTCAGCAGGAAAACGCCCATGCTGAAAGCGTCCGTCTCGCAGATGTGCATATAGGTGACCGGCGCGCTGGAACCGGGGCCGGAGCCCGAGCTAGAGCTCCTCTTGGGCGGCGAGATGTTCAGGTCTGCGGCCCTGAGCTCACTGAGTAGCGCGGACAGTTCGGAGCGCTGAGCCGCGAAGGCTTTACTGTCCGCGGGCGAGCAGTTTTTAAAGGTCGCGTCAGCCTTGTTAGCTATCCGCTGGATCAGCGAGGACTTACCGTCCCGTGGCATTTTGGCTTTCCTCGCTTTGTTGTGTAAAAAACGTTACGGCTGTTACGGGTTCTTTTTCTTCTTCTTCAGCTAAAAACACAAAAAACAAGTCGCTAATAGTCCCGCTATTTCCCGAGGCACCCCAAAACCACAGCAATCACAGTAGACGCTCGTTGAACGTTATCTATGACTTAAAGTATCCCATAATGTGTATTCTTATTGCTTTTATTTGTGGTGGTTAAGTCCCGCACACTTCTCTCCTCCACCGCCCCATTCATGTCTATCTGATCTACACGTCCGCAGCTACGGCGCCTGCGTAAACAAAGCGAGGCACCGTGGGAGTTGTAGTTTATTTACAGTTCAACGCTGCAGTTGAAAATGTGCCCAGACCCTCACAATAACTTATTTACTAGAATATACTTCGTCGCGTACATAACTGACTTCACGTAATGTGAAAGGATAACAAAATATGTCTCTGAATTGAGTGTACTTATAAACGCACACTGTGATCGCACTACAATACCCAGAAATCCCACTTGCATCCTCAATCTGTAGTGAGTAGGGGGGTCCGTTGGGCCATTCAACCCTGTCCCTTCCCCCCACAGCCTCTTTGGACCTCAACATCATGTTTTCTCTCTCTCTCTCTTCCCCAGCCTCTCATAAATTATAATTAAGAGAGATATATGTACTGCTTCCGTTAAGTAAACTTTTTAAAAGTAAAAATCCTAAGACTCACTTAAACACTCTTGGACACCTTGTGTAATAATTATGATCAAAGTAATGAAATTGATTAGGTCCAAATACAAAACTGTATATGATACACTATGTGCCTTGTGTTGTATATGGTTCTACATAGAATCTTTTTGAAAGTAGTGCTATATAGAACAAAATATATTTTTACAAGCCTGACATCGCAGCAATAGCAGAACCCATTGTTGTTGCTATAGAGAGCCGTTTTCAAAAAGGTTCTATATGGAACCACATGTAACACATTCTCCACCAATCTGAAGAACAATTTCACCATGCAAAGCATGAAAGGTTCTGTACAGAACTCAAATAGAGCCATTCCCTTAACTGAGGAACCCTTCAAGAACCATTTTTTAAACATGTAGGTTTCAATCCAACTACAAACAATATATAAACCTCAGCAGTGCCTTTATCCCCTTTAGCTATCTATGCATCTGTGCTAGGAATACTGTTTGTTTAGTGAGCACTGAAGTACACAGAGTTTAAGATGCATGAAGCCCATGTCACATTTGATCTCATTAAGCAAAGCCGGTGGTGAACAGTCATTTTGGGGGGAGAGAGAGGGAGAGAGGTGAGGAAGTGTGGCTGGGCAGAGCCACACTCAGTGAAGTGTACCTTCGCATGGCGCCACAAAAGACCATCCTCTTGAGAAATAATGAGGGCTGCTCATTTATTCTGAATGCAGGCACTTGCAAATACCACTTCCGGCAGTGGTAATTCAATTAGACCCCCACTCTTAGCAGCCGGGTTATGGAAATCAGCTATGATGACACATGCAAGACATCTTTTCACCACAGCTGTCTTAAAGGCAGACTTTTGGTCTGAGGTGAAAGAGAACGACATGGAATAGCCTCTGTGATGTCTTTGTTTTACAGACATACAGAAAAGTGGAACATGGCACATATTTCATGCAAAATTTCCATGAATAAAGCTTCCTCAGGTCCAAATCAACTCTTGCTTGTACCCTTGAGCTAAAATTAAATACCTGTCATTTATTTATTTTCCAGTCAAAACAGCAATTATGTATGCTTTTTTATTTTTCAGAATCAAGAAAAAAGCTGAAAATATATTGTGGCTGTTAAGAAAAAACTTTCATGATGAACAGATCAAAAGAAGTGGTCCAAATAACTTTAAAAAATCTTGTAACATTAACTTTCATTACATTATGAATG